TCCATTGATTGATCTATTGCTACAATTCCAATACTTATGAGAGCATTGTCACTCTTTATTGTTCAAAACTTCGTCATTCCATATAATTGCTCGAACTAATAAATAGGGTCTTATTTTTATTTTTTCTTTTTATTTCAGAATGCAGTGTTGCTAGTTACAACCAGCAAAACTCAGTCTAATGCCATGTACCATTTTCTGGGGATCTATCTTACTGGCTTTCTCAGCTCCCTTGCTGCAGCCATTGCTTACATCCTGTACATATGGTTCTTCCAGATACCTGCATCATTCCAACACTATTCATTTGTTTGCTTATGTGGGGCATTCCATTGGATCCCATTTACAATTGTTGCATATGCCACCATGTTTTCTGATATCCCATCAAATCCTATTTTCTTTACCATTTCGTTTTCCTGCGCGTACTTGCTTCATGGTCTCATACTCACCTCTCTCACCTGCGCCTTGACCCGTTTGCTCAAATTCAGTCAAAACCAAACCCATTTTAAAACCCGGCTTAGACATCAATTGACCATTTCCTGCCACCAAAGATTTGCCAAGCTTCTCTCGGGAACAGAAGCCTTCTGCATATATTTACGCCTTTTGGGTGCAAAAATTGGCAAGCACTGTTCCATTAGAGCCATCAACCCAGTATCAAACCCCGAGTTAATGTCAATAGGTGATGGAGTCCATCTTGGTGATTTTAGCAAGATAATCACCGGTTTCTACTATTCAAACGGATATGCTTGTGGAAAAATAGAGGTTCAGGAAAATTCAGTAGTGGGAAGTCAAAGCCTAATCCTCCCAGGCTCTGTTGTAGAAAAGAATGTCATTCTCGGTGCTCTTTCAGTTGCTCCAATGAATTCCATACTCCATGAGGGTAGCGTGTATATTGGATCTCAAACCCGAGTTGCAATCAGGAACTCTTCAAACTCTTTAGATGAACGGATAGAGGAAATGAACATGGAATACAAAAAAGTAGTTGCAAATATGGCTGCAAATTTAGCTGCAACAACTATCAATGTCAAAGCAAGATACTTCCACCGCATTGGTGTCAGTGGAAAGGGGCACTTGAAAATCTATGAAAAACTTGAGGGCATTCCACTGCACAAGGTTTTTCAACCTGGTAAAAGCTACCCCGTCATGTTAAGACACAGTAATAGCTTGAGTGCTGATGATGATGCTAGGATCGATGCACGTGGTGCAGCTTTGAGGATTCTTTCTGATGCACCCGATTCTAACCATGTCCCCCTCATTGACCTGACACTAAAAACTGGCAATGCGTTTTATGCTCGCACTATTGCTGATTTTGCAAGCTGGCTTGTGTGTGGACTTGCTGCGAGAGAAGAACTTGTCAAGCGTACCCCACATGTTCGTGACGCAGTGTGGAATTCACTAAGACATGCTCACTCATATGCTGAATTGCATTACTACTCAAACATTTGCAGGCTCATGCGCTTCACCGATGGACAAGAAATGTACGTGAAGTTTAAGCTGAGGCCTATTGACACAAGCATTGGTGAGGACACAGGTAAGGTAAAACCAACTGGGATTCTTCCACCGGAAACAGGTGCAATTCCAAGGGATGAAACTGATACACGCCCGTTACTTTTCCTTGCTGAAGATTTTCAACGGCGCGTGAGTTCCCCCGGCGGAGTTCGCTATGTCTTCCAAGTGCAACTCCGACCAGTGCCAAAAGATGAAGCCACACGTGACATCGCACTAGACTGCACCAAACCATGGAATGCAAGTGAGTTCCCTTACCTTGATGTTGGAGAGATAAACATCACCGAGAATCTCTCAAGGGAAGAATCAGACAGGCTTGAATTTAACCCTTATCTCAAAAGCCATGAGTTGGATGTGATCCCTGCCACTTCCAACACCCAAAGTGCCTCAATCGATCATGGCCGCTCATTGATCTACGAGATTTGCCAGCACGTGCGTAATAGACAGCCACTCCCAGTCTCTTGGAGAAACCTCGTAGAACAATCTAGCATTAAGGTAGACTTGTCCTGCTGCCCTGTCGCAGCATCAGTAGCAACATCAAAGCCCAAAAGGGAGACAAAAATGGTGACAACCTTAACCTTAACAAGAACCTGGTACCAGACATTCTCGGCAGTTTTCACTCAACCGTTGTTACAAGCAGTTTTGCCCTACATGGTGGTGGGTTTGTCTGTTTTTTCCCCTTTGAATTTTGTCATGAACATGAAGAACGCTGAGAAAGTGTCGGTGCAATGGTTGTTTCCTTTGTTTTGGATTCTCTCGGGTGTTATGGGCGCACTGGCATGTGTTGTGGCGAAATGGATTCTGGTGGGAAGGAAGAGAGAGGGTGAAACAGTAGCCTTGTGGAGCAAAAGGGTGACCATGGATAGCACGTGGCAAGCCATTAGAACGCTGGTTGGGGAGTATTTCATGGACATAGTAAGTGGGTCGTTTTTGTTCGTGCTGTGGATGAGGTTGATGGGTGCAGATATAGACATGGATGGTGATGCTTACGTTGACAGCATGGGGGCTTTGTTGAACCCTGAAATGGTGAAGATTGAGAGAGGAGGGTGTGTGGGAAGAGAAGCATTGCTATTTGGACACATATACGAAGGTGATGAAGGTGGAATGGTGAAGTTTGGAGGAATCAAAATTGGTGAAGATGGGTTTGTAGGAAGTAGAGCTGTGATAATGCCTGGTGTTCGTTTGGAGAATGAAGCCAGTCTCTCAGTCTTGTCGCTTGCCATGAAAGGAGAAATAGTTAGGTCAAGATAAACTATATATAAATAAAATTATATAACCTATACATAAATAATTATATCATGGAAGTTTTCATTTACTATATAGTGTGCTGATCCCATCATTACTAATTAGGATAGATCAAGGTAGTAATTATCTTGAAACTTCTAATGATGTGAGATATTGATCAAGTGTTATCAAAGTTTATTATAATAAAGATAACATTTAAATATATATTCATTATAATTAAAATTATTTTTACATAACACTTTATAAATTACCACTATTTTTTTTGTATTGTGTATTTTATTTTAACTATGTATATTTTTCATAATAGTATATAGTATATATCAATACTTTCTAAAGTATTGTATATAATACTAATAATAATATTATTATTATGACATTAATACTGTAATTATATATAAACTATGATAAATTTATTGATTTTGTAATGATTATCTTAGAAATTATATTACTATAAACTTTGATTTATCGCTAATATAACCACTTAAAAATTTCAGTAAAATAAGAAGATTAAAATTATATTTACGTATAATACTAAAATGGACATTTCTTCTTATGATTTTAGTTCGTAGTTTCGGTAGGTTCGGTTCACCAAACGCAGAAATGCTAGAAAGAAAGAAATGACTACTTAATCAAATTCACATTGGAAATTGTCAATAGATGACGTGAATGTTTTAAAAGATTTTTATGGAATTTAGAAGGGTCTATGATAAAATTAATTTTACAAGTTTTTATTTTGATAGAATTTAACCATTTCAGTGTAAATTATCTTTACTTTCTAATAAGTTCCTTTTTTAAATAATATAATTTTCATTCAAATAATTTTGCAATTATATAATAAATTGTAACTAAACTAATGTTTAGTTAAATTATCTACCCACATAATATTCTTCATATGCAAAATTTTATATACTATTTTGTATTCTCTTAATAAATAAATCCCATAATAGAGATTAAAAAATTCAAGAAAAATAAACAAATCCCTCAATCAAGGAAAAGTGACGAGGAGAGTTTTTTTTTTCTTAGTTTTTCTAAAAAATAAATGATAAAAAGTTTTATTTCTTTAGTGAAAGTTTATCTGTTTTAAATACTCTGATAATTTTAAAATTCTGTTTGGTCTAAATAGAACTGTCTAGAAGTGATGCTAATTTGTATCCTTTAAAAAGTTACTCATCAATTCTAATTCTACTATTTTTATCTGTTTTTATTCTCCCTATTTTATTACTTTCTCTTATATAATATATTTAATAAAAATTATAATATAAACATATATGCTATCTCATTCATAATATTCGTCTTAGAAGATTATTCTAAGTCTATAAATAATAAATTATTTAAATCAAAATTATAAAACTTTTTTAAAATATCAAATTACTAAAATTCAATTTATAATTAAATTATTAAGTCATTTAAATTATGTTATACTAATAATTTATAAGATTAATATACACATTTTCAATGAAATAAATCATGAAATGTCAACTTTCAACATCCATTTTTTTTTAATTTACTTTTCCTCTACTTTTGTCAAAGCACGTGGGTTCTGAAATAAGCTAAAGTCACATTCTCCTAAACCACAAACAGAAGACCCATTACAATTAAGAAAAATAAATGATAAAAAGGATTATTACTATTTTTTTTTGTAAATATAACTTTTGATTAATACAATTGTAAAATTTACTACAAAAAATATCGAATACATTATATTATATACAGAGACATATGATTCAACAACAGTAGTGCCAATTCTCTAATTTATTCTATTAATATAACATTTTATGATTTTTTTTTCCATCATGCTAATTATTTAATTTTAGTTTATATCTCCTTGTTATAAAGAAAAATATGCAAACTCTCCTAGACAAAAGGAAGGGACAGAAAGTTGCAGAAGGTAGTAGCTAACTTAGTATCTGTTATGTTTGAGCATTGTAGATAATCAGTTTGCACCAGTCACAAATTTTTCTTTTCTTGTATCATTTAGAATTCACAGATTCAGTACATAGTTACTTTTGTTTTTGATGCATTTCGTGAGAAGAAACTAGGAAGAAAGTTGCAGTGACGCTTGAGATGACTGCTTTGTATCTTATATGTATTTTGCGTGTGCATGAACTTCAAAGAACACCAAATATTTGGTTTGGGTGGTTGTGGTAGTTGAAGAAACACCACTGATGCACAAAACCTGCTCCATGAAAAATAAGCAATCCATAAAAAATGCAAAAAGTGCAACACGCTCAACTTTTGCCTTTTCCTCATGCCATGTTTATTTATTTGGATGAAATGTTTCTTTTGAGCAAATTGAGAATCTGAATCGATAGAAGGAAACACAAGGGTTTTGAATTAAATGGTTCTTTGAACGCATCAGGTTATTGTCGATTTCTTTTCTAAGGATCACTCCTTGTAAATAATCAACTTTTGATTTTTATATAAAAGAAGGATTTTGAAGTGTTTTTCTTACATTTGGTGCAGGTTAATTGGTGAGTGTGGTGTCTGAGAGAGTAAAATGCATAAGCCAGAAGGGCCAGCAGAGTTTGCTCTCAAGGAGACCTCGCCAAACATAGGAGCAGGTGCAGTCATGAGGGACAAGCTCTCCTGCACCTATGACCTGGTTGAACAAATGCAATACCTTTATGTTCGAGTGGTGAAAGCCAAGGAATTACCAGGGAAGGATGTTACTGGTGGTGTGGATCCTTATGTTGAAGTGAAGCTTGGAAACTACAAGGGCCTCACCAAGCACTTTGAGAAAAAGTCCAATCCTCAATGGAATCATGTTTTTGCCTTCTCCAAAGAAAGGATTAAAGATTCTATTCTGGAGGTGGTAGTGAAAGACAAAGATGTTGCTGTGGATGACTTTGTAGGGAGAGTGATGTTTGATCTGAAAGAAATCCCAAAACGTGTGCCACCAGATAGCCCTTTGGCTCCACAGTGGTACAGACTAGAGGACAGGAGAGGTGAAAAAGCCAAGGGAGAGTTAATGTTGGCAGTTTGGATGGGAACTCAAGCAGACGAGGCATTTCCTGATGCATGGCATTCTGATGCAGCAACTGTTGGTCCTGAGGCTGTTGCAAACATAAGATCTAAGGTTTACCTTTCACCTAAGCTTTGGTATGTCAGGGTCAATGTTATTGAGGCTCAGGACTTGATACCAAGTGACAAAACCCGGTATCCTGAAGTTTTTGTGAAGGCCAATCTGGGAAATCAGTTTTCAAGAACTAGAGCATCTCAGAGTAAAACCATAAATCCCATGTGGAATGAGGACTTGATGTTTGTTGCTGCTGAGCCATTTGAGGAGCCTTTGGTTCTGACTGCAGAAGACAGGGTTGGTCCAAACAAGGATGAAATCCTGGGAAGGTGTGTCATTCCTTTACACAATGTGCAAAGGAGGTTTGACCATAAGCCTGTGAACACAAGGTGGTTTAACCTTGAAAAACATGTGGTTGTTGAAGGGGAAAAGAAGAAAGAGGCCAAGTTCTCAAGTAGGATACACTTGAGGGTTTGCTTGGAAGGTGGCTACCATGTGCTCGACGAATCAACTCAATACAGTAGTGATCTTAGACCAACAGCAAAGCAGCTATGGAAGGCCAGCATTGGAATTCTAGAACTGGGGATTATAAGTGCACAAGGGCTGATGCCAATGAAGACTAGAGAAGGTAGAGGAACCACAAATGCATATTGTGTAGCTAAATATGGGCAGAAGTGGATCCGTACTAGGACAATTGTGGATAGTCTTGCTCAAAGGTGGAATGAGCAATACATTTGGGAGGTTTTTGATCCATGTACTGTTATCACAGTAGGGGTCCATGATAATGGTCATTTACATGTTGGAGAGAAATCAGGTGCATCAAAGGATTCAAGAATAGGGAAGGTGAGAATCAGGCTGTCCACTCTTGAAGCTGATAGGGTGTACACACACTCTTATCCTCTTTTAGTACTGCATAATTCTGGTGTGAAAAAAATGGGAGAGGTGCAGTTGGCTGTAAGGTTCACAAGCTTATTTGTGATACACATGTTGTCTATGTATACACAGCCATTGTTGCCAAAGATGCACTACATCCATCCTCTGTCTGTGATTCAACTAGACAGTCTTAGGCATCAGGCTATCCAGATTGTGTCAATGAGGTTGAGCAGGGCAGAGCCACCACTGAGGAAGGAGGTGGTGGAATACATGCTAGATGTGGATTCACACATGTGGAGTATGAGAAGGAGCAAAGCCAATTTCTTCAGAATAACCATAGTTCTAGGTGGGTTGATAGCCTTTGGAAGATGGTTTGATCAGATATGCAATTGGAAGAACCCCCTCACAACCATACTCATTCATATCCTTTTCATAATACTGGTTCTCTATCCAGAACTAATACTTCCAACAACTTTCCTCTACCTTTCTCTGATTGGAATTTGGAACTTCAGATGGAGGCCAAGACATCCTCCTCATATGGACACCAGACTATCTCATGCTGATGCAGCCCACCCTGATGAACTGGATGAAGAGTTTGATACATTCCCTACTTCTCGATCATCAGATATGATCAGAATGAGGTATGATCGTTTGAGAAGCATTGCTGGGAAGGTTCAAACTGTTGTAGGGGATTTAGCCACTCAAGGAGAAAGGTTCCACAATCTACTAAGCTGGAGAGACACAAGGGCCACCACTCTCTTTGTGACATTCTGTTTCATTGCTGCACTGGTTCTCTATGTTACTCCTTTCCAAGTTGTCATCCTTCTCATTGGTTTCTATGTTCTAAGGCACCCCAGATTCCGCCAGAAACATCCTTCAGCTCCATTCAACTACTTCAAGAGATTGCCTGCTAGAGTGGACACCATATTGTAAACATTATTGTTCATCTCTCTCAAAATTTTCCACACCATTATTACCTTCATCAGGTTTCAAGCCCTTTGCCACAGTGCCTCTGTAAATGTTACGTTTGTTCATAGAAATTGTAAACTTTCATGTCACTGCATTTATGCTTATAAACAGTAGTATTTTCCATGTAATTAACCCTGTTATTTTTTCAAAGTTTTGTAGTACAATTAATGTTACTATTGGACTGATCTTATTATATTGGCAATTTATATTTTAGTGGTTGTAAATACTTTTATTTATTTCAATATAATTTTTTTATTACTATTTAAAGTTGATGGTTTGTTTTGGTGTGTTATATTTAAGTAAATATTATATTCCTTTTTAAACATTATATTATCCTTATTATGATTCTATATAATATAATTATAATCCAAACATTTTTTTCATAATTTTTTTTTACTATTAAGGTATAGTAAATTAAAAAGATGGAAGTGATTTTTTAGTTTATTATGATGCTCTCACTTGTACCCATTTATTATATATATTTTAAATATTTTGTGTTATATTATAAGTAAGAAATAAATGTATATTAGTGTCTTTTTTCAATCCACACAATATAGATACATCATTTTATTATACTCCTCTCCTCCTAAGATTTGTTATTGGTGGTATCGTATTTAATATTATCCTCCAAGCAAAAAATTGTGTTGAGTTACCTTTACATTTCATTAACATATTGTACAAATCTATGTTTTTCTCAATACAAGGGTTTTACATTTTTTGTAACCAAATTTGATATATGTATTTTCCTCATATTTCCAAGCTCATTCATCTCACTCTTTTTCTTTATTGTTGTTTATTGTAATAAGTGTACTAATTCATCCTCACTCAAATCATTCTTTTCTCCGTGTTACTTTCTAGTCTCATTTATTATTTTCTCATCTTTCAAACTCTTTTATGATTCTATTCTTAATTATATAATTACAATATAGTTTCGAAAACCTAAAGCTTGAGGGATTTGTTCTATTATACTCTAAACCTACTTTTCGCTTTATATTTTAGTCAAACCATTTTTCTTTTTTTTCCCTCCTCACATATTTTTTATGTTTTTTCACCATGTTGACCTATTTTGATGTTTACTCTTCCAAGTGAGACCTCTTTAATATTTATATTTTGATTCCAATTTTTTTTATTGGTCATTTTCTTTCTTATCTAGTTTTCATTTTCATTTGGCTAATAAAATTTTATTGAACAACTCGATGTTTTTTTTGTCTATTTCTCCTTCCATTTTTTGTGAGGATTATTATGTTCCATAAAACAGAATGATAAGATAAGTCTTAATAATGTGATTCAAAAGTCTAAATATTACTAAAGTTATTACAGATTTTTATTGTATAAGTGAACAATAAATTAGGTAGCTCAAACAGAGTAAATTAAAGAGATCACAAATAGTTTGGATAAAATAATTTCTCATAAATACTAATAGTCCTTATAATGTTATTGTTTTCTCTTAATATTTTGAAAATAAAATAGAATTTGTTTGGATATAAACTTATCCTTCAAATGTTTGATTTTTTACCTAATCTAAATAAATAAGCTTATGATAGGATTTAAGATTTAAAGTTTACTATTAAGAAAAATTAATTAAAAAATAAAAGTGAAAAGAAAAAAAAACTATAATTTCCTTCACCATTTTAATATACATCATTCTTTATCGTTTTTACTTTTTATCAATATATTTCATTTTATAATTTCATTTTAAATTTTGTAATTATTTTTTAAATTTGATTAATTATCAAAATTATGTGATAATTTTTTATATTATCGGAATAAATAAATAAATATACATGTATTTTCATTCATATTTATTATAGAAATGTTACTATTTTGAAACTATTCACCAAACAATTATTAATATTTACAGTATCGTTTAATCAAGAATTATAATATAATTGAAAACTAACCTCTATTTAAAGTGATTTTAATCAATTGATAATACAACAAAACTAAACTTAAATAATATATATATATATATATATATATATA